TTTTTGCCCTTACTTTCCTGTGATGATTATTTCCATTATACTTCTGATTCTTGAGGTACCAGATTTCAAAATAGTCATCACTCTTTGGTGTAAAAGAAAAATATAGCTTTCCCACTGTCTCCTTATTATTTCCTTCAATATTTTATCTTACCTTTAATAATTATTGCTTAATTTTCCAAATTTTAAATAATACACCTAAATAGCTACTTCTTAATTCATTATTATCCATAATTATAATGCCAATCTGATTATTATTTCTTTGTCAGTAAAGCTTTTTCTTTTCCTACCTGAAAATGTTCATCTTCATCTCTTTCTCCATGGGGTTAAAATTTCTTAAGAATCAGTACACTTTCTGGTTTTTTTTTTTTTTTGACCTTAATCATTTCCTCATTGTTTAATATTCCTATCTTTCATTTCTGAGAATTTTCTTGATTCTTTATTTCAATTTACTTCTTTTTTTCCTCTAAAGTTCTTATTAGATGGATTTTAGACCTCTTTGGTTAATTATCCACATATTCCAGATTTTCTTTTTATCATATTTTTTATTGAGGTATTTTTGTCTCTATATTGTGGGCAACTTCCTTCCTCAAGATTTTGTTTTACAATGCTTTAGGTTTTTTTCTAAATTTACAATAACTTCTTGAATTTCTGAGAGCTCCCATTTTCTAAGTGTTCTCCCGCCTGTTTTCCTTAAGTGGACACAACATCCCTTCAAGTATTTCTGAGTGAACTAATTCAAAAGTTTAATATTCCTTTATATTTCATAAATTATTAGAATCAGTAATTCAGAATCAGTTTGTCTTCATGTTTTTCCTTTATACTGTTAGTTTACCTTGAAAGTTCTTGGTGATTTTTCTCCAGTAGGCCCAGCAAGTTTGACCTGTATGTAACTGTTGAGTGTGCAACTGTCACATTTCATTATCATGTGTGTGGAAGGGGAGCATGACATCTTACTGCTTCCAGACATACACACATACACTCTAAAAGATGTTGAGGGTATCACTAGAACATTCCAATAACAACTTCATGAGGCCTAGTCCTCCCTAGAGTGGCATGAATTTATCTATTTTTTTTTTTTTAGAAGTTACGGAGTTCTACCCACGAGCAGACACCAACCTGTCAGCATCTCTACTTTTCTATATACACAGATGAACAGTGGTTCAAACAGCTGTAGCTATTCTGGAGATGGACATTTAACTAACGCCATGTGTCCCATCCTGCTTATTGTTTCATTTGTCCTGCATTAGAGTGTTTCTGAAGTGTCTTGGGTGGGAACAATAGCTCCCACACCCAGGTTTCCATTTTCTGAGCCTCTTCTGAAATGGGGCTTCCTTTGGTCTACCTTATCTGTTGGTCTATTTTCACCTGTTGCTCGTCTTTCAAAAACTTAGTACGAATTCCGACATGCTGATTGGCTGCTCTGCATCACGAAGATCCACTTCATGTCTGTTTTTAACACTGATGTGGATTTTGTAGTTTTTGAAATCCCGATTGATACTTCAATGGGATTTTATAAAAGTGGAGTGGAGAAAACCTGTGCTCAGGCTTGCATTCTCGCATGCAAAGTTTTTAAATGGGAAATTAATAGCAGTAATATTAGTCAGTATTTCATAATATCAGTAACATGACCTAATAACGTTTGATGTTCATATTACTAATATTTAATAACATTGATGATATTAGTATATGACACAAATAATAATTATAATATACACATACATAAATATAATTTCATAAATATTTTATTTACTACTTAATATTTCTTTGGCATTAGTGTATCTTGGTGCTTGAAATATATTTTGTATACTTTACTCTATCACTAATATATAAATAATGTAATACTTATTCTCTCTCTCAAATAGTAAATAAACAAATCTTTAAAAAATAAAGGGGGGGCACCTGAGTGGGTTACTTGATTGAGCCTCTGACTTAGTTTCTGCTCAGGTCATGATCTTGAGTCATGAGACTGAGCCTCATGTTGGACTCTGCGCTGTTGAGGGAGTCTGCTTGAGACTCTCTCTCTTTCTCTGTCTCCCTCTGCTCTGAGCCCCCCCTCAAATAATAAATAAATCTTTAATATATAAGTAATGTAGTATTTAATATATAAGCAGACAAACATATCTTTAATAATGAGAATGGGCTCAATTTCTCATAATGTTAAATTCAGCTATATTCTTAGTGACTTTTTCAAATAACAAAACGGTATATTCTCAAAATTATATTATTTAGAGTAAAAAAATCTTACTCAGTATGTAGTTTCTTTTCATATTACTTAAACTGATTTATTTTTTATTTTTTCAATACTTACTCTTTTGGGGGGCAATAGGAGTTTTATTTGAGAAATTATAAGATGGGTAACACAGCTGCACTTCAGATAAATAAGGTTTGGAATGTGTATATTCTTCTGATTACTCTTTTAGTGGTTTCGAGGTCACAATCTATGTGTCAAAATATTTTATTTTATTGCTACTGTGTCAGCTCTTGGGATATTTTTCTCAGCATCTATAAAGTCTATTTCTGTTCACATCCATCCATTCATTAAAGTGTAGCTTCTTTTACTTTATGAACTTGTGGTGTTTTGAGGGGGCAGCAGGAACTGGATGTCAATTGAAAGTGTCACTCCTGTAGAAGCTCTCCATGATTTTGACCACCAGAGATTAGTCCAGTTTTAAAATGAACCACTTGCAGTTTTTCTCCACTTTTGGACACTTTCATGTTTAATCATCCCCCCTCATGCACAATTGATATCTTCCAAGAAACACATCGTTTTCCTATTTATGGCAGCGCTGAGTGATATATGGAATTTTGTGCCATATAACCTTGAAATTGCCAACTAACAAACTTGTATTTTAATCACTTTTCATTCTGATTAGTATTTGAACATATGCTATTTAAGTATTAAGTGACAAGGAAATGAATACCAATTTGCCTCATTTTGTACATAAGTTTACTGTTCCGCTAAAATTTCGGACTCTAGTCAGGTATTCCCAAGTGTCAAGCTCAAAAGATATGTCATTAACATTTAATAATATACTGCTTCTCCTTTTTATGATACATCCAGGCAAGTGGAGTCATGAATTTATTTGTGTTTAGGGCATTGCTCCTTATCGTCAGGCTGCACATTTTGTTTCTAGTATTATGACTTGGGTGATGCATTTATCTTTTAAAATATCACTAAATATGATTATTTGCTACTTTTACATCTACTGAATTTTAATATTTAGTAGTTTGGGTTCGAAACAAAATAGATTTGAATATAGGTCCAAATATTTAAAAATTCTCTTTTGTGTTTTTTAAAAACTTTTCCATATAATGTTTGATTTTCATAGCTTTGAAATTTCTCTGTTTCAAAATGCAGGATGATAAAACTGTTGCAAACATTTTCATCAGGAAGAATTTAAGATCAGGTTAAAATAATTTTTATAATCTCAGCATTATATTTAGTGTTTAGATAATAAAGCCACCAATTATAACAAGTTGTAAGATTCACATTTTAATAAAACCCCTAAAATACGCAGAAATTCTGAAGGGAGAGTTACTAAAACTAGTTTTCATTAATGTTTTAATTGCCATTTTATTCAAGAGTTCATTAAGTATTTTTTCCAGTAGCATTTTTCATGAGGTCCATATTGTTGTTACTGTTGCTTGTTTTAGCATGTATTTTATACCAAATGGTGGTATTTCTTCTTCAAGCATCACCACTAGCAATGACAATGACAACAATAATATCACCTATGCTGAATACTTGCTCTGTTCAAAGGTTTTGCTGTGTGCTTTATGTACATCATCTCATTTAATTATCAAATGGATCTATGTATTATTGTGACTTTTGTATAGGAGAGGACACAGAGGTAGAAAGAAGAGCACTAACATTTTCTGTTCAGAGTGACATAACTCTCCTGGCCAGAGCTGGAATTTCTGTCCAAGCCTGTCTGACTCCGAAGTGATTGCTTTAGTGTTTCATGGTATCCTAGACTTGCTTGATTTTTAAATATTTTTTTTAAAATCTTTTTATTATAAAAGTATTAGAGCCTGGTATCCTAAAAAGTTAATTTGATATGTGTTTCAAATAATCCTGATAATAATAACTATTATAACTGGACAAGATGGGGCATTCATTTAAATAAGCCATGAAACTTACTCATCATAGCCATCACAAAGATTAGGTGCTAATATAATTCCAGCTGTGAGGATAGCTATATTGGTAGAATGAGTCGAATTTTGGGCACAGATGTTCTCAAACCTGAGTTTGTTTTTTTTTTTTTTTAAGATTTTTATTTAGTTATTTGACAGAGAAAGACACAGCAAGAGAGGGAACACAAGCAGGGGGAGCGGGAGAGGGAGAAGCAGGCCTCCTGCCGAGCAGGGAGCCCAATGTGGGACTCGATCCCAGGATCATGACCTGAGCTGAAGGCAGATGCTTAGCCACTGAGCCACCCAGGTACCCCATCAAACCTGAGTTTTTAACTCCTGCATATTCTGTCTCCAAAATATGATGCCTTATCCACTGCTACAAAGCCAACCTATGTCTTTTTTATTCATTCACAGCTCCTCAAATCTTTTCTGCATTTTCAAAATGTCATCTTTGCTCTTTGTTCTCATTATAACTAAAATAAATAAATTACATAATATAATAATAGCAAGCAGATACTTATAGCATGTGAATGTTTTAATTTAAAATAGGGAAATATAGAGTTTATTTTTGTTTTAGAATTAGATTCATGGTTAACAGTATTTTGGTGGGTTGATTTTCTAAAGCTATAAAATATATTGCATATTTGAGAGTTTTTTCCCGCATGGTCTTTGAAATGGAAAATAATGTTATGTCTTACAAAGTAAATTATAATCTAAAAATGCATTAGGATCAAATACCTCTTTGATTTCTGTAAACTAAGGTTATTTTTATTACATATCAAGTCTTTTAGAGTTCGCCTTGAGGAGACAAATTGATCTTTCTTTATGATATTTTTTCTCAAAAACTCATTTATTATTTTACTCAGATGTCCCCTGGACTCCATCCTGGATCCACTCTGATTCCAATGAATAGCATTTCTCTGCCACATGGAGAAGAGGATTATGGGTATCAGTGTTTGGAGGGCAAAGATTGTACCAGCTTCTTCTGTTGCTTTGAAGACTGCAGAACAGGGTCATGGAGGGAAGGAAGGATACACATACGCATTGCTAAAATTGACTCCTATTCTCGAATATTTTTCCCAACAGCTTTTGCCCTGTTCAATCTGGTTTATTGGGTTGGCTATCTTTACTTATAAGTTCTATTTACCAGGCAAAAATCATAAGAAGTTTAACTGAATCCAATACAATCTATTGCACTTCAGTAATACGAAGTTTAAATTTAAAATGCAGAGAAACCAATGGTTAAAATGTAAAAACATTGTAACTGTTCTAAGGATTCATAGGTAAATAAAGTAGCAGCTTTCATGTTAATTACTTCACTGTATGTAAAAGAGATTAGTTGCAAAATTCTGTATAGTAAAATACTATTATATATTTTTACTTTAATCTTATTTATTTTACTTGTATCCCATTAAGATTTTGAATTTGTAAGTTCCGTGATTCATATTTTAAAGATGGAATATTTTAATAACTTTAATAATATTTTATTTAAATATAATCTATCATTGTTTGTAATGGGGGCCTAATCTCATGCCTAATGTTTATGTAGTAATTTTTTGCCTGGAAAATATTGTTATTTTGATTTTTTTCCCTTACTTTTTATTTGTATGCCCTGTTTGGAATAGAGCTAGTGAAAACCATAAAGTCATGATTTCCTGGCATCTATATCCAGATCTTTCACTCCCAAGAACAAACTAAATTAGAAGAAAAGGCCAATTTTTACCTTATTAAAAGGACAATTTTTATCTTATTATTTATCGTATTTTAATCAAGTCCATTTCCTGACACAATATTAAATAGAACTGTAGTTACTTTAGTTTTGGTGATTTACAAACTAGGATGGAAACCACCAAAGTAATTTCTTTTAAATACAGGTGAAAAAAAAGTTACATTTAACCATTTTATTCTCTGCCTCGCAGCATTTGTGAAGTATGAAGTTAACACTGAAATGTTTAGATCTACCAACACTGAAATTAAATACAGAAAGAACTGATTTTTTCTTTATGCTCTGCAAAAGTGTTAACGTTCCCTAAATGGACGAAAAACATTGAAGAACAGTGCTTGTATTCATCGTTGTGGGAAAAGAATTATTATCTAGCAAATTGAGTAATGGTTCATATTGAAGATATGGTCTTAAATATATACTATTAATAACTGCCAGACTAAAAATATCCTAGAAATATAGTTTTAGGTGTGTGTTGTATATTATCTTTGCCAGCTTCTATGTTTGGACACTGTCAGTTTTATATCTTTGTTGTAAATTGTTATGATGTTCTCTTTTTTAAAAAATGAGAGCAGGCTCAAAGATCATGTTAAAAGTGGAGTTCTATTAGAGGCACCTCGAAGGAACACGAGTGTTGGAGCTCTCTAGATTCTTAGAGATAGGAGCAGAGAAAACCACACTAAAGTGTAGGGCATGTTGGTTGATAGTTTCCCAAATGCCTCTCTCATTAAGAGGAGAGTTAAATTTAGGCTTTGGTCATTACATTCCTGTAAATAGTTTGGCATATCCGTCGATTATAAGGACTTCACATGCATTCACCACTACTTAATTTTTTGGGAAATTACCAAAGTGATTTTGGAGATAAGCTTTAAAAATTGTTTCCATTGCCAAGAGCAAGCATGAGGATCAGGAGTTTTGTGATCAAAGCTTATCCTAGGGTATGTGGAGGGAGGTAGGGCCTCTGCATTTGATACTAGTTTTTAATGCAGTAATTCTGCCCACATGGTTAGAGAATACATGAATGAGGTTCTGGCATGGTTATGCTTATCTTTATAGAATATATAGTTGTTTTTTAATCTGAATACATTTCATTGTGCATTCCTCAGCTAAATCAGAGTTTTTTTTCCTTTGATTATAAACCTCTGAAACAATGTAAGCATGAATTGAGTGATAATGCCCAATATCCACCGACACTACTTTTTTCGAATGGAGAGCCAAATTAAACTTTGGCCATGTATATATTCACTTACAAATAACTCACACATTCATTTTTATAGCTGAGTATTGATGGATATTTTTAATGTGAATATTCACTTATGGATAAATGGAAAATGAAGTATCCATGAAGGATAAAACACTTTACTAAAATGTATTATGGCTATTTCCATGTTCTAAGCTGTAACCTGTTCATTTTCATGAAGGCAATTTGAATTCTGGGATTCTTCAACTTTATCTGAGCATGGCTGTATTTTAAAATACTTTAAAATGCTTAATATAAATAGCTTTGATTTTCTCATTGGTGTTCCATTAACTTGGCTTTAAATGTTAGCAATATTAACAAGTGGAAATAAAATTAATAAAAATGTGAAAGATGCTTTACTATACACATTCATTGTATAAATCATTGAAACAAGCACTTTGTTTTCAAAGCAAGTGGAATTTTGAGCAGCTTTATTTAAACATGTAGATCAGAAAGAGAGGGGTACAAATCTTGGTATTTCTTTTCTTTTTTTTTTTAATTTTATTTTATTTTATTTTTATTTATTTATTCATGAGAGACAGAGGGAGAGAGAGAGGGGGAGAGACAGAGAAGCAGAGGGAGAAGCAGGCTCCCAAGGAGCAGGGAGCCCGATGCGGGACTCCATCCCAGGATCCTGGGATCATGACCTGAGCCGAAGGCAGACGCTTAACCATCTGAGCCACCCAGGCGCCCTAAATCTTGGTATTTCTAATAATGAGAATAAAAAAGTGAAGTTGCAACTAGACCCTGTTTATAAGAAATCAAGTCGAACTTATTTTTAAAGCGAATGCAGTCTAATTCCTGTCTCTCTCTTCTTTCAAGAAGTTTTATCATCTTGAGAAACAGATTTCTAAAAAATCCTCCTTTCAGAGTTATATCTGAATTTGTGCTTCCTAGCTGCTTTAAGTGGTTGTAACACTAATACAGACCAAAGAAGTGGACGTAGAGGGTAGGAAGGCTAAATGGAGCAGAATCATTTGGGAAAACATTAATTCACATAGACCCATCCTTTAAATATGTGACCAGGATCTACAAGTTCTGAGAAGGGAAACTGTGACTGGCACAATCTTATTCTCTTGCATTTACAATTTCGTAATATTTTATTTATTCTTGAATTACATAGAAAACTTAGGCTCACTTGAAATTAATTCCTAAAATGCCAAGTAGTTTCTGAGGGGAAAAAAAGACAGAAAGAAAGAAGGAAAGCAAGAGAAAAGAAAAAAAAAGACAGCTTCCCTGAGAATCTGGTAGGGAAAGGGCAAACACTTCCTCAGTAAATCCAACTAAGTATAAAGTTTTAATGTAAATAGAAATCAGACAATTTATTGGATGTTTTTTAAGTTAAAGACATAGATTTCATTACGGACTTATTAAAACTGATTAACTATAGGTTACAACACAGTAAATGTGTGTAGTTATAAAATCACCAGGTTTTTCCTTTAGTGTTCCCGTATCTGACATTAATATAGAGTCATAGAATATGCTGCAATTTTGCTTAATAGCAAGGCCAAAGTTGAGGGCTGCATGCTTGTCAATGATCTAGCATCAAAAAGAATGATTGATAGTACTCTCAGATCAAGGGGCCCATAACTGTAAAATGGGAAATTGTATTCCAAGTCAATATGTTGTGTTTTGTTTTGTTTTTAAAAGATTTTATGTATTTATTTGAGAGAGAGAGCAAGCAAGAGAGAGCATGCACACAACCAGGGAAGGGGCAAAGGGAGAGAGAGAAGCGACTAGCCACTGAGCGGGGTCCCCGAAACGGGGCTTAATCCTGGGACTTCAGGTCAGGACCTGAGCTGAAGGCAGACGCTTAAGGCACCCCCCAAGTCAATATGTTGTAACCAAATGCATCTTGTACTTTGATTACACAAAAGGAAATTTAGATAGGATCATTTGCTCAAGTAAAATTTAAATTAATAACCAATAATTGAATAAGCACCCAATAAATGGATAAGTACATATGTAAAATTATCAAACTTCTATGCCAGGGCCCATTTTCACTTGGAAAATTTCTGGTAGCAAGATACCACATTCTCGATTATTTCATTGATCTTACTTAGCACTGGAATTAAAGTGATTCAGTGGACATTTAGTGAGTTAGCATTTGTCCCACCAAAAACATTTTTGAAAATAATTTCTGACCAAGCTATTATTCTTTACATCATCAAATTTACTTAACTGCTCAATGTCTTGCCATATGAAGTACAGACATACTTGGTCTCACGTTTCTGTTGGTCATCATTGTTTTTCACTGTTATATGAAGCCCTTGACAAGTCACTGTAAAGTCACAGAAACCATTACTAAATCACTGTCAAAAACACTCCAAATGGCAGTGCCTGGGTGGCATAGTGGGTTAAGCAACCTACTCTTGGCTTCAGCTCAGGTTTTGATCTCGGGGTCGTAGGATTGGACCCTGCGTGGGACTCCACGCTCAGCGTGGAGTCTGCTTGGAATTTTCTCTCTCTCTCTGCCCCCCATTCTCCTCTTTCCCTAAAAATGGATAAATAAATCTTTTTCTTTTTTAAAAAAAGATTCCAAATGGAGTTTCCAAACTCTAGTAAATATAAGGTCAGTTCTGCCTTTTTTTTTGTCTTTGCATTTTGGAAGAGACATAACCTAATGCAAAATATTTATGCAGCACTTCCTATGCATAAGGTACAACAGGGGATATATAAAGATGAAATCTCAAGAAACATATAGTGAGAGGATTAGTTATGCAATTTAAGGAGGGAGGATAACTCTGGGAAAGTTTCCACAGATGGGAGCTTGAGAATTCAATATGTCACTAGGTGAGGTTAACTAGAGATCACACTTCCAGTTGAGTAAATAGCTTGACTAAAGAAACAGAAGCATGGGCACAAATAAAAGTTCCATTTTAATTGAAAGTTAAGATGCATATGGAGACAATTAAAAATGAGACAAACAAAGATAGGTTAGGCCCTATGGTAAAGAGGCAAAAATACAAACTGCAGGGGGCTAGGGGATAGTCTAAATTCATGGAGAGTTCACAAAGATACTTAAGTAGAAAAGAATCATTGTTAATACTGCAGAACTTTCCTCTTATTGGTGTGTGATGTTTGGAGTAAGAAAAGCCAAAGCCAGTTAGGAAGCAACTATAAAACAGGAGGTGAGGGAGGAAGAAGGTTAGTACTGCGGTGATACAAGTTCAGTGGAGGAAAGGGAAAGCTAGCCCCTGAATGAGAAAGGAAAATGGAGACGGAACGGTGATTAACAGGCAGCATTAACGGAGTGACATGGTGTGCGTGAGGAGAGCGGGGGTCCTGTAGTGAACAGTACGGACGTGCGTGTAAATAGACACTAAAACACCACAAGGAAGTTATGGAGGCATTACAACCTTGCTTGCTGTTACTTTGAACATTTTAATCGAATGCTTATTTTTTTTTCTATTGATATATGTTTTTCCCACATTAGGAATGAGGAAAAAGAAAAATCTCCTGAAGTACAAATCATAAGGCAGGTCTGTCCAGATTACTATTATTATTTAAATCTATTTCTCATTAAAAGGGCTTTCTTCCCAAATAATTTTCTCTTCTTTCTTTCTGAGAAAGAAAAAATAATGTATTTGGACAAAGAAGGGAGGAAAACTGGCAGTAGGAAATAGGTTGCTGTGGGATGAGACAAATCCAAGAAGTTGATTTGTATTCTCAATTTCTGAAATGTTTATCTCAAAATAAATAAATAAATTTTTATTGTTGGACCATGAAAAGTACCTGGACCATGAATAGTTTGAATCTGTGAATGGATAGGATAAGCCTGTGAAAACTGTAAGGCAGTTAAGCACAAAGGGCTAATTAACAGACTTTAAAGACATGACTGACCTAAATTATGGAAATAGTTTGGATCTCGATAAATCACTGTAATAACAGCTATTTGCACCCATTAAGTGTATCCGGTCACTTCATATAATAAAGTTTTATGGCTTGTGATTGTAATGG